CCCCCCCCCCCCCCCCCCCCCTTCCCTGTGACATGCTACCCCGCTACCCTACCCGTCTCACAGGCGTATCAACCCGGCTTTCGACAGGGGAATCGTGGTTGCCACACAATAATCACAACCCCTCGTCACATTACCTACCGGTAGGTGACGTCATATACCACACCCCCTTTGGACCGATTCTCACAGCTTCCAACACTCCGCGACCAAGAAGAGGATGTCAAGGTCAAACTACGCGTTTTCGGAAAGCTCTCGACGAGACGGTTCGAACGCCGCCGTGTTCGGCACTGCGGGGAAATTGAGCTATGAAAATCAGTCCAGGGGGCGAGGTATCGTATGTCACCTGCAATTACTAGTGAAGTATGTAGGGTACTCACAGACAGCTTTGATTCGGGGGACTGCTTCCGTCTTCGCATATATCCTCACCTCATGAAACGGCACGAAAAACAGTCGATCCAAATCCAACACCGTTCTCCCCACAGGACATCTACGGTGCCCCCTCCCCTTTCTCGTTCACAACACACACCGTTCTTCACTCACACATAGTCGGACTCGTTCCCATCTTCTTCCTCCTCCTCCTCCTCCTCCTCTCCAAATTCATCGTCGCCTCCATCTCCCGCGCTGCCATCACCCCCCCCGTCGCTACACCCCCCCCCTCCTTCTTGCGAAGCGTCGGCGCGGGGCCCCTCCTGGCCCAGGGCGGCGGAGCTTGGGGTCGCTCCCAGGGCCCCCTTCCCCTTCTTCGCCGACTTTTTCTGCAGAAATCGCTGAGGATTTCACGGTCGACGTCGTTGTGTGCCATGTTTGCAGCAAAGCACAGGCCGGCATGTGCGGGAAACTTAGCGGGATCGCGAGCTAGAGAGAGACGCGGCCAAACATACGTACTGCTGTGCTAGCATTTTCCACCCCGCCTCATGCAATGCTTTCTTTCACACACGTCAAGACATGCCACTAACTCAAGGTATAGGTTCATTCCCACCCCCGGTCAATGATCATCTCCGAGGTGTTGTTTAACCTGCCCCGGTGTCCCCAGGAGTTGACCCACCCGCCAGTCAGGATTCGAGAACTACTGTCGCCGTAAGCTAGCCCGGTCTCAAAGGGTGCAGCGCAGAGTGATAGAGGTATAAGCAGACCGACTACTTCATGTCCTGACCAAAACCAATCAAAACAAATAATTAAACTGAGCACCCCCATCCCAAAAAGAAACTAAAAAATTCCTCTACAAGTGCGAGACAAAAAATGATTGTGCATGAGATAGAAATGCCTCTGCAAGAGACCAAATTGCTTTTGCATGAGACAAGAAGCCTCTACCTGGTCCAAGAGAGACAACGCGTGCAACGAGAGCACGGGCAACAGGCACTACCAGCTGCAGCGATCACATGAGACATCGTGAGCGAGACGGATATCCACCATGAACAACAACAACAACAACAACACCTACAACAAAACCAACGACGACAACAACAGCAACAGCAACAGCATCGACAACACCAAACACAATCAACAACCGGACACAGACCTTGAGCTGGTCGAGGAGAGCGGTTAGGGTAAGGGAGGTGGGCTGCCCGTAAACGTATTCCCGTAGGTCGTTCATCACCGCCACGA